AAAAAAATAACTGTAGTAAGAAAAACAAATGAAAAATGCGAACTAATGTAACGTCGTATGGTGAGTTTTTGTTCGTATCGTGGAGCAAAAATATGTTCGAATTTCATGTCGTATCCTGAAAATTTCGTATGCTGGGGCGTTCGTAACCTGAGGTACCACTGTATTTTGTGTTATGATATGTTAAAGAAAAAATCAAATCATGCATCTTTATCAGTATTCACATTATGTTGATGGGTCTTCTACCTATGTATACTGAAAACAGAGGGCATCAGCCACATGTTATGTGTATTAATATGTAGACCAAACTGTTTAGACTTTCATCAGCCATCAGAAGCATTTTATGCATTGCTCTTGCTCTTCTTTTGCCAAAAATTTAGGCATTAGATAATAAACTTCACCAAATATTAATCTATCAGCATTTAATGGATGCAAACAACCATTTCTTTTATATTTCACTTATATTGTAACTGTTGCAATCAAAATTTAATCTAGTGTTGCCACCTTTTCAAAATTGCTGACCCAGACAATAAGTTTGTTCCAACACATGTCCTTGACTAGTTTGAATTTGAAACTGTACAAGGCATGCACAATGTCATTTTACAGCCAAGAATTGAACAATGTGCATGCCAGTTTTAAACCAGTTAGGGACTTGTGTTGGAACAAACTTAATATTTGCCAGAGATATTTGCAAGTTAGAATTTTAAAAGTACATTTCTGTCACTCTTAGCCTAGGGATAAGTTTGGGTGAGGATGTGAACTTAAAGGCATTAACCGTTAAAATAAACAGCTGGATGGCTGAGTGGTAAAGATGGCTGCCTACTGCTCTGGGGACCTGGGTTTGAATCCAGACAGCTTGATAAATCCCCAGGAACTTTTTAAGGGAGTGGTCTGTCTGGATATGTTTGGCCCTGTTCCTCACCACCCAGCCACCCCATTGTGGGCTTGGCTGAACCCATAATGGGCTTGCTAAAAGAGGCCCTCTTAGTGCCCTCAGGGTGGAAATAAGTTAAAAAAAACTGTTAAAATAAAATACTCGCAAATATTTTTATAAATTTATTTTGTTTCATCATAATTTCACAATTTCTACAAAAACCAGACAAATTAATAATTAATCCAGACCTTGAATTTAAAAACTGGCTTGTCTGGGTGAAAACCGGCATGGTGGCAACACTAATTTAATCCTCTTCATCAAGTTCATTCATCAGTTAAATAATATCCATTTCCTCAAACAAACAGTTTTTCACAAAAAAAAAAAAAAAAGAAAGAAAGAAAATACATTGGTGCCATTCTTAGATATATGGTTGAAAAATACATTCAACCATATATCCAACAATGATACCAACTTGTTGGAATCTGATGACAACTACACTGATGCAACACAACAATGTGAGCAGTGTTTTCAAATTGCCTGTGTTGTGATATGATATAATGATATGCATGGACATCCACAGAAAATTTTCTGGAGGGCAAAGCTTAATAATTACCTCAATAAATTTTTATTTAATTATTTAACTTTTTTGGTTTTCTTACAAGTTTGCGTTTTTATAGGTTTTTTTTGCGATCGGCTTCTTGTCAATTGGATAAATCTTACATCACCGATTTCCAATTGGTCATCCACCTGTCTCCAGGTGTAAATGGAGCTTCGTAAAGTTCGCGGGAAATGTCGGCTGGAGATGGTTTATCCGACACCATCTTTTTGAATCTGATCGCGTTTAATTGTTGACTATGACACCTTCGCTCATCTAGACATTTTTTATCTAGTTTCGTTTTGCTTTCTAAACTGCGTCTTAACTTTAAATATTTTAAATTTTCTTCTTTTTATATCTAAAATTTGGTTTTTCGGTCAACTTTTGATGAGCGTCGACGTCAAAGTCGGGTGTCGCCAATTCGACACTTATATTTTTACTTTCCTGATGATTTAACATAACAAATTTTTACATATCTTTCCTTTTTTTAGGGGGAGGGGCTATTTCCAGGGCCTCACACAAGTATATTATAGAATACAGAATTGCATCAGTGTCCCATGGATAAGAATATAAAATTATATATCTCAATTACTTTTATAATCTTATGGAATTTTTGGTTCCTTTCTGTTAACGAGATGTCAATGGTAATTTTAATCTGATGCACGATACTGTCGTCCGCATTGCTCTGCTCAGACTATCAAATTCAGCCCATGAGGCTGTGCCAGCTTCAAGTAGCCCATTTGATTGTTTGTGGAGTACTTGATTTTATATAGTTTTAGGGGGAGCTTGCTCCCATCTGGGTACTGAGATGCAAACAATAGTGAGCACCAAAGCACACAACTACATGCGAAGCATGTAGAATAGGCAGTATACTGATACATTTTAAAAATTGGATTTTGGAGGCAAGTATCTCACAAAGGGTCAAC